AAGAAGAAGAAGAAGAAGAAGAAGAAGAAGAAGAAGAAGAAGAAGAAGAAGAAGAAGAAGAAGAAGAAGAAGAAGAAGAAGAAGAAGAAGAAGAATCCTTCACTGCTGAAGGACACATGAGAGAGACTGAAGGCAAGAGAATGAGACGTGCAATTTAAAGTATTCAGATTGACTTGAAGAAGGTAGGAGGAAAGACGACTGGACTACAGCAATAAAGCATCGAGTCTTACACGTAGGAAGTGATGTAAAGGTTTCGACTAGCAGTCGGACAGCTGGGAGAGCTGAGAGATGAGTGAATACAGAGCTTCCTTATTGACCTTATGCATAACCTTCATGTCTATAAGAGTAAATTTGACATTTTTAGTTTAAACACCTTTAATATGTACACAGGAGGTCAGGTATAACAGTAAGTCTTTACAGATATTTAAATGTAGAAAATATTAAAATTAAACAAAGTTGTTGTTTTTTTGTTTTCTTTCTATTCCCAGTCTTGACCCACACCTCATTCTTTTATCATTTGGTGAGGCTTGCAGCAGATTATTGAAACATGAGCAAACATGCATGCAGCTTGAAAAGGCAGCATGACCGTCTTTATTCTTTAGCACAGCCTGAACTCTCGTAGACAATCTTTGGTCTTGCTTTTAGTAGTTCTCCAGGGTTCTTGTAAGACGTTGTGAAGTTCTTCTTTGATTGCAGTTTTTTGTTTTGTTCACTGCCAAGACGATCGCACACTGCTTCAGTGATGGTGAGATCCGAACTCTGGGGAGGTCAGTGTGTCACTGATAGCGTTCCACTGTGTCTTTTTCAGCACAGGTATGCCTTCATTGCATTGACAGTAAGTTTGGGTTCATTATCATGCCGAAATTTAAAGGCAATCAGATGTTTTCAAATGGATCAATATTTGTGCTCATAATTCCATCAATTATGACACGATCCCCACTCATGAGCGTCTATAGACATCTGTTTTACATTTGTAGACACTGCTGTTCCCCTCTGATCACCTCTGTGTGTTAAAGAGAATTTTAAACAAAAAATTCAAAGTTGGATTCATCACTCTGTGATGTTCCCACTGATTTTCATTCCAGATTATGTGTAATAAGACATACCTCAGCCTTTTGTGCACATTTCCCTTCCTTAAAAGGTCCTGTCATTTTTTAGGGTTATTTCATTAAAGGACGTAAAAATAATAATTTAGTCAAAAATACATCGGTATGTAATTGCGTTCAACAACAAACTGAATCATTATCACAAACTTAATATCAATCCTAATCCAAAAATACATAGCTGCTTCCACAAACTCGTGCCATCTGCCATCAATACAGCAGAGACGGACACTGCTGCTATGACTAATTGTGTTTCATGTACATGGCTAGAAACCATGTACATATGTAGTACACAAGAGGCAGAGGAGAAATTTTGCAGGTGGTTGCACGCCATTTTGAGTCTACACCTCCAGACTCAATTTATGAAGGATCATAAATAATAATAAATCATATTATTTCAGCCATTCCACTTATTTTGTGGTAATTACCTAACATTGTAAAGACATTTGAAAATTTCAACTTTGATTTTTTTTTTCCAAAATAGTAGTAATAGCAGTAAAATACGTATATAATCAAGGGCGTAGATTTGGCATGGACGGAAGGGACGTGTCCCCACCAATATCCAGCGATTATTGAATTGTCCCCACCAATAATTTGATCTCTTCGAGTAAAGAAAACAACCCGATAGAAAGAAAAAAAACATCTGTCAGCGTCTCATTCACCCAGCGGTGCAGAAAGAGTTAAATTACGTCCTCTACTGGAGTCCTAGCTCATGTGACAAATATGGGCAATGTGATTGGCTGTGCCTTTCAGGGAGCTCTGTTTGGTTTTAGCAGCGGCAAACCTGCGCTGCGTGGAGGACGG